AGAACAGCGTCAGCGCCTGGCTTTTAAGGTGGGCTTGGAATAGGGAGCAGGTGCATAGAATAAAGTCCTTAGTGAAAGGGCTGGAGCACCCTTAAGGAGGGGAGACTATAATCGTGACACCTGGACTAAATCAAATCTTTAGCCTGCCTGCCAGGTTAAAAAAATTCAAAAGTGGATAAAAAGTTGTTGTCTGCAAGAGGCCACTTCCTTTTACAAAAGGAAACATTTGTACTCAGCAGCTAGTGGATGTGTCAATAAATCCACGTGACTCAGTCCATCAGGGCTGAGGTATAATGTTAGATTGTGTATAACGTGTCAAGGTCTCAAATGATTTTTTTATTACATGCTTTATTTTATTTCTCTTATGGAGACACAGTAACAGGCAGAACTTGTATTCAACTACTTTGCAATCGAATACTACTTGTTACTTAATTTAGGTACTTGCTGAGGCATTGAGCATGCCGGGCATAGAACACACCCTAACACTAAAATCATACTTCGTTGAGATGACAAATTTTCAAAAGACTCACTGCTTAGATTACCTGCATTCTTAAGAGAAAGAAAGCAAATAAGTGTCTCAATTCATATGCTTAGCTGAAATTGTGATTTTACAACGGCGAAATTAAACATTCAGCTCTAGGGAAAGGGATCAGTCTTTAGCTATGGCACATGAGTATCTCCGTCACTGCTCTTAGTGGATCTTTTATTTTATGACCGCACGCTGAACACCGCTGATTGAGATTTAGATTCCAATTTATGAAAACATTCACTCACCTGCTATCTGCAAATTACAAGTCAGGTGCTTTGAGGGCAATTTTGTTTGCTTCCCAGCCCATCTAAATCTGATATCTTGTCCAATCAAGTCAGCACTTTGTAATTTGTAGATTTGCAGAATTCTGACTTAATCCAGGCCACAGCTTTATGACCATTCCAAGTTCTCTACAAATCTGAAAGCCTTTTAGAAAGACAGCTTGCAAGATACCTTTCTAAAGACGAAAATAAAGCTAATGTACAAACATAACTATGCATATTTGGTGGAAGGTGAGTGAAATACAACATTGTAGTTGACTATTTCATATGTTACTGTAACTCACAAAGCAGACGTTGCCAAAACATATACAATTTAATGCACGTTCAAGTTAATTCAGCATTAAATAATAGCACACACTTACCTAGAAGACCCTGCAATGGAAACGTTACAGCATACTTACTGAGCTTTGGAAGCAAAAAAGTTATTTTTAAGGCAAAGACAAATCTTCTAGCATTGCATGCTAGTACCTCTACATACTGGTAAGTCCATACTGTTACTGGGCAATGTACCTGATCAGCGTACAGCAACAGCACTAACTGCAGACAAGACAGGAATGGGTTTCATCTACAGTAGGTCGACTATTGCGTGCTTATTTAAATGTCAACTGTTTTTTTGGTAGTTTTTGCATGTACAATTTGCTGGTAAGAGACGTGGGACTGAAGTAATTGATCAGACATGTTAGGTAAGGACAGAAAAAGCTAATCAATAGAGAGAAAGTGCAACTACAAGTGGCAGCAAAAAAGCAGCAACACCAACACTTAAGAGGTTTGACATGCACCCTAAACTACACGGTACTGTATATCAAATGAACAACATTTGTCAGGACTATTCATTGCTTTCCTCTGGTTACCAAATAAAGAACTTATGAATATCCTTACAATATCAAGGACCCTGACAATTATTGTAATAACAGCCAAGGTTTTGCTTCAGGTCAGTTATGAACCACGAACACTTCACACACTTCCTGGGGGGTGTGTGTGTGTGTGTGGGGAGGGGGGATATAGTCTTCTGACTTTTAATGTTTAAATAATTTTGTGAATGTTTTTTTTTTATTTAAAAAAGGTATGTTCATAACATTAATTGAAGAAAAAAAAACAGTTTTGCACATTGCTCTCCATGTCACAAACTTGTAGGAAAAGTAAGAAGGTCTCAGGATAAAGGGCGCTAAAATTTATTTTGGTGGCAACCTGTCCTGAATTAAAATATCAATGTTATAAAAATCACAAGATAAATAAATACACCTTACACTTTCAGAATTTGCATGCATTTTACAAAATGCCAAGTTAAGTAGTCAAATGTTAAAATGTTATAAACCAAACTTTTTTAATGCAATCTTACAATATTTCTAGGGTAATTAAATGCTACTTTAGTCAGGATAAGGCAGATTTGAAACTATTACTTCAGTGGATAGCTAAGATATGGCTTTTTGCAAATAATCAGAAACATAAGCAAAGTTTAATTTAAAGATATATTTATTATACATAACTTAAAAAACTTTAAAGGATTGCTGCAGGTGGTGATTACCTTTTTACCTTTCAAACCTTTCATCTGTGAATCTACCACATGCACTGAATCCACTCTAATAATGATTGAAAGGGCTTTATTTTTAAGGAAAAGCAATGTGGCTTCCTATCAATGCTGAACATTTTACAACACCTAGAGCACAACCTAAGTAGTTTGCAAGTGACATTAACAAATTGCCCTCTGTTCTATAGTTTCTGTCACCCCATGTTGATGCATCAATTTGGCAGCACTGAAAGAGTCCAGTGACAGTATGGTCTAACTCCTAGGGTCTCAGCTTTCATGATTTCTGCTTAGCATGTCAGAATTTAAATGAACGTCAACATGTTTACGCAAAGTGAAATGAAAGATTAGAAGAAATATTGCAGATTTTACTGTGGATTAAAATGTTAAAGCAGTAAACAGTTGGTTTCTTTTTGCATTTTGCAGCATTTATCACACCAGCTGCTTTTACAAAAGACAATTTTTAAAGCAAGTTGTTAAAAAACATACAACTTGTGCCAAAGAGCTGAACATCTTTTAACAGTTGCCTAATTTACTTTCAATTGTTTAGATTGTGGAGTAAATGGGCTCTGTAATTGGTATTTTTACGGTTTCTTAATCTTTGTGACCTTTAAAAACATTAGACACATTACAATGCATTAGATGTCCTTTGATGACAACTGTTTTTTTGTAAGATTTTTTGACGTAATAGACAAGGACAATGCACTAGATGGAGAATTAAAACCACAGCAGCTCTGATAAACAGCAGGTGATTTTTTCCTATAAATAAGTTTAACATTAATTATTACCAAGGGAAAACTAGATAATATAACATCAAGTGACTAAACCCTTATAAAAAGGGAGTAAAATTCAGCTCTGGCACAAAGTATAAGCATGCAAACAAGCATTCCACAAAACCCTGGGAACCCCAGTATAAAGGCATGCACAGGCTTTTGTTGTAGGTCCAGTGAAATAGGAGCAAGAAGGGCTTTCATCCCACTGAGTAACCTTTCATATCGTAGTTATTAAGCATTCCATGCAAAAAATACCATCATTGTTACAGAACTTGGCGACCTCGAGGGTTACAGACTGTAAGAACCAAGAGTGAACAGCAGCTTGATTCACACTAAGTTAACTGTAGTAGCTTCTACAGAAGCATGCACAAGTTTAAAGAGGATTTATAGTGCTTTCTATCTAGTCTAAAACAAGGGTTCAAATAATTGAAATCAAGACTTTAAATAAGAGCTTAGCAGCTTAGTTTTATTTGTCAAAAGAGTATCTAGACATGAGAACAGATTTTAATATGTTCTTCTGAATCCAACTCTACAGTAAAAGAGTACATGTTCATCTCCAATAAAGAAATAATAAAACTATAATTAAAATCTACAAATTTAAATGGATGTACATTTTTAATTTGAACAATTACAATAGAATATTTCTGACATATTCTACAACATACTACATAAACAAACTAAATGTTCCTCAGCCAGATATTTTAAATACTAATATTCATTTGAAATTGCTTAAATTAATTATTGGAACCCCTTATAACTTTTGTAACTTCTTTAAAATCATCCTAGGAATTGGAAAAAATCCTGGCATACATGGACTTCCCCTTTGTCATCACTACTTTTGCATGAGCATCATTCAGATTGTTAAAACATTAAATCAATATAGTGACACATGCTGTCAGTAGGAGCAAATATAAAGTCACTAGCTGACTGAGGAAGTGGCACAAAACTGGCAGAGAGTAAACCAAGAAATGAAGATACAACTGGTAGTTCCAGTTACCAGATCACATCTATATACTGTACATGCACTCCTTTAAACACTTACACTAACAATGCAGTATGCATATAGAGCAAGAAAACATTTATGTTATGTTTCCTTTTACAGAAGATACCATTTCAGTCAATACAGGCACATGGGTTCCTGTCTACTGGCTTGACACTTTCTAGGCTATATAACTGTTCACTCTTGGTTGTCTTTTTCCCATCTTGCCTGCTCGTTCTGCTATTGGACAATAGGGAACTCACCAGTACATAGTAGTAAGCATACAACGCTGCCATGTGATGAACTACAAAAAACTTGTCCCCTATAGCCTTCCAATAGTAAAATATGAGCAGCAAATCTGGAAAAGAAACAAGAAAACTGTGAGAAGACATTTCTATTATTTAGGCAACATCCTGCTCCTCATCTGTATGATTTGGTAGGAATATAAAACAAACCAATCAAATATTTATAATGTGGTTGTGTACTCCCTTGTGTTCAGTACTATTAAATCTGTATAATATCATGGAAAAAATACACATAAAGTTTTAAAATTCCTATTTGTTTCAAATATTTCATTTGAAACAATGCGAAACATGCAATACTGAAAGAGGAGAAGCAGGCCTTGGTAAATAAGCCATTAAGAAATTCTTTGTGATAGATTTTTTTTTTAAACTTTAATCTTTTCCATCCTCAAACTGCTGGAACAAAAACCCATATACATGTTTTACATCCTGTCGGTGATATTTCTGTTTACATAATCAGGCATCTGCTTAGGCTGAAACACTGTAATGAGCTGATTCCAGCTTTGCCCTTGAATAGGCCCGGTGAGGCAGACACAGTGGCTAGCAGGTGGGAATGCATATTAATGTAGATGTGAACACTAACCTGATATGAGGTAGCCAGTGGTTATGCCAACATTTAGTTTCACCAGTGTAGGATCTCCCCTGTTGTTAAAAAAGGATAAAAGTAAGGACTATTCTGCTAGACAAAACACATCAAATCGCACTTCAAATCTACTTCTATGTCTGAAACAGAATATTCTGAATTACAATTATCAGAATTTCACCTCACTTTCCATTATACTAATAAATAAATTACAATATATGTAATATATCTTTCATGAATTAACTGCACTCTAAACACAAAAGCCACTACATTACTTTTTGTATCACAAGAATGTGTGTATTTCCATTACAGGCTCTGAGAGAACTATGTTTTTTATAAAGAATGTGTGAAAAAGAAGGATGGGATTCTATCTCCCCTGTTCAATAGCTGAAATCTAGGCTAAGCCATTTTGTAACAGTGGCAACAGTTCAGCTTGAAGAAAGGCTGAGTACTGATTAGACTTGGTGGATTGAGATGACTGGGACATCCTTAGGTTTCTGCATGACTCATACCTACACACCCAAGACTCTTTATTACTCCTTAAACTGGTATAAGCCAGCAGCCATATCACCCTGCAACTCACAACTGGTAACCCACTGAAGCCAAGCAGGTGTGAGCCTGGTCAGTACCTGGATGGGAGACCTCCTGGGAAAAAACTAAGGTTGCTGCTGGAAGAGGTGTTAGTGGGGCCAGCAGGGGGGGCTCACCCTGCAGTCTATGTGGGTCCTAATGCCCCAGTATACTGACGGGGACACTATACTGTAAACAGGCGCCGTCCTTCGGATGAGACGTAAAACCGAGGTCCTGACTCTCTGTGGTCATTATAAATCCCAGGGCGTTTCTCGAAAAGAGTAGGGGTGTAACCCCGGCGTCCTGGACAAATTTCCCATTGGCCCTCACCAATCATGGCCTCCTAATAATCCCCATCTATGAATTGGCTACATTACTCTGCTCTCCTCCCCACTGATAGCTGATGTGTGGTGAGCGTTCTGGCACACTATGGCTGCCGTCGCATCATCCAGGTGGATGCTGCACATTGGTGGTGGTGGAAGGGAGTCCCTATTACCTGCAAAGCGCTTTGAGTGGAATGTCCAGAAAAACGCTATATAAGTGTAAGCAATTATTATTATTATTATAAGGGACATAGTTGTTAGAAACTATCTTGCATAACCTGACCTTTCCATTTCTGTGCATGCAAATAAAGACAATTGTTGGGTTGGACAACAGATGGAATCCATTTAACAAGGAATATTTGCAGTTAACAAAGAATAAAAAAGAATATTTCATACCAGACAGGATCTTCATTGACAGCATCATCAAAGAATAGTATATAGACACAGAAGATCCCAACCACCAGTGCGTGTAGCGTCGACACTGTCCTAATATAAGGAGAAAGAGTATGTACAATATAATATCAATGGGCTGATACCTGGTATTGCAACCCAAAGGTGAACAAAAAATGTATAATGTTCAAAGAAATTAACAGGATTTTAAATGGTTAGTAAGTCAGTTGCTAGTAAGCAGGAATTAATTCACAGAAATTCAATGTATTACTAATAATAGAATCAAAGTGGCTCAAAACATTTCCTCTTCTGTCTAAATCTTATCTACAAACAATCAATACTGCTGTCTTAATGACTCAACACTTATCTCTGCATGACTCCCTAGACATGACTGATAAGCTGCAGGAAGAGTTTAAATACTCATGAGTATGCTTGTTAAACACCCCACAGGAGACAACTAAATACAGCCTTGTCAACACCATCACCTGTCAATCTGAATTCTTTGTGCTCCATTTATCATTTATCAACCTAATCTCTGTGTGTGGGAAGCAGTCATCAAAACACACTCTATCATGCACTTCAGTAGAATATCAGGAGGAAAAAATGCCAGCACTGCAGACCAAAGATTTAATTTAGCCCAAAGACAAGTGGGTAAGTGATGAGAGCATTTGAGAACACTGAGGTGCATTGGTATTTCAAGTACACAGAACCTGGGAATCAGGTATTACTTCAGAATTGAATCACTGCTCAAAAGCTGTACTGGTTATTTCAGTATAAAATTATCACCTTCAGTACAGAATTGTTATGCAAATGTATGCAGTTCACAATTATATACTTTGTAGTCCCAAATCCTGGCAGCAATCACATTTAAACTGAAGCTATAAGGACGCAGAAACTATTTTTTGCAAAACTGAGAAATATGAAGGAAAGCTTATAAAGCACAATGAAATATGACAAAGATATACTTCTTCATGCACTCTCGATTCACAAATGCAGTATCAGTGCATGCAATGACAATTCCATTTTATTAATAGACAACCCCAACACAGGTTCAGTTTTTCAAAATCTCTCAAGGTCTGTCTAGGTTTTGTCCATTAAATTGGTTTTTCTTTTAGCTGTTTATCATCCATACCGTAGCTATAACCAAAAGGGTTGTGGGGATATTTTGCATTAACTAAACTCTAGTTTTCTTTTGTCATCATTGGCTAAAATATTTTAGCCTCTTACAAAACTGGTAACAACTCAAATAATTTTGCTTTCCATTATGACAAAAACAGTCCATCTCCACTACTTTAAGCTTATGTAAACTTATAACACAAATATATGATTGTCACTGCATAATATTCAGTACAATTTTATACTTTTACAGATTTCTTTCTCTGTTCAGTGAGAAGTGTTTGCTAAATCAAGCAAATCAAGGACATGGATTTAGTTATTTTTTTAAATATTGCAATTAAGGTACAAAGTGCAACACTATTGTGCTCATAACGCTACTGTCTAAAGTGCTGCAGCAATTGCTTATCCACTAGTTAACTAATGCTAGAATTCTACATCTGGGAGTCTTCTAAAACTGTATGGTGGGGGTCTTTGCTACCTGTTTTATTTTTTAACACTTTTAGTGGCACTGGTTGAAAAGGAATATAGCATTAAAGAAAAAACAAATACATACAATACTACTCTAGTTCAGGTTCGATGGTAACACTACTAAACTGGTGCTAATACTTACCATGCTGACAGCATTTAAAACACTGCTTAAATTTACAGCATGCAGTTTGCTTTCAGTAGGCATGGGTAAAGCTAAAAAAATGGTAAAAGCATTTATCACGACTGCAGATGACCCGACATAAGTCAAATTAGAATACCATGCAATTTTTGTTCCGGGCAGCCTACCAAACAAACCTTACAATGTTACGACAGCTATAATATAAAGATATCAGACCTTTGGGGATGATTTACATAAATACAGACATACATAATTTATGTATTAATGACACCTGAAGAAGGCTCCACGGCCGAAACGTTGTGTTCTCTTTCTTCTTTTTTTCAGCATGGAATAAACCTATTACTTGTTCTTTTGCAGCCTACGCATGCTGACGCAGCTACCCACCTGAACTACATAATTAATACTGAATTAGTTCTTAACAATCAATATACTGTAAATAGACACAACAGGCATTGCACTAGCCCAAATTAAAAATTCATATTTGATAAATTGATATACTGGCAAGGATTCAGAATATACGTGTACCTACAGTATATTAAAATGGTGAATGCTATAATTAATTTTGATTATCGGTGCTATTAATTGATTATTTGTAGAAACTTTCAGAGGATTGATATAGTGTCAAAACAGAAATTCACTATCATGCGTAAAGGAGGAGAAATGTATTCACATCATACCTGGAGTTCCATTCAATCTTCTGCTTTTCATTCAGCTTTTGAAATCCAGGGCTGATGCGGATGGACACCCAGGAGCTGACATAGTGAAACAACAGCTGAAAGGTGATGAAACTGGCCACTGAAATGGCAAGAATCAGCTGATTGAAGGGATCCATAACAGCCCCTCCCTACAAGAAGATAAAAAAAGAAGAGAACAGTTTGTTGCTTCAAACATTTGTTTCTTGTTTGTGACAGATTCTTCAGAAATATTACCATTATACCATTGTGTCATTACTAATTTACAGGGTATTACCCTGGGTACGCTTCTTCAATTCAGGGTCGTGAGGTAACTGGTGGCTATCCAGGCAAGCAATAGGTATATTAATAGGTTATTAATATATTGTAATATAATACATAACAATCCTTTTCTACTCCTGTTTTGGGGTAGGAAATGCCAGATACAAACAGCTAGGCTGACAGACCAATGAAGGAATAGTTGACACAGTTTAAATTCTGATACACTTGCATCAAACATTTGGCTGATTTAATCTCACACCAACATCTGATCCTAGAATGGAATAATTACATCGCTAGTGACAAACATCCAATAGCCTCACCACCATGACAATTAACACCATGGTAATGGGACTTGGATACTTCTGTTGTCACAGTAAAACTGCTTAGTCTGATTCAAAAGGCCTGTTTTACTATTGCACTCACACTGTTTTAATGTTACAGTATATAGGTAATAAGATTTCTGAGCCTGAAAGATATTCCATTATATACATTTAATGAACACCCCATAATATCTTCCATGTCTAACTTTTTCAGACCTAATTCACTCTTCATATACTCTGTTATTGACCACAATGGGCCTTACAGTGTGCCTCGCTGACATCACAGAATATCCATCCATCCATTTCTTTCATCCAATTCGGGGTCACTGGGAAGCCGGAGCAAATCAACTTGCACAAGGTAGGACACCTGAACACAACAGGACACATACACAAACACAGACAAGCAAACACTCACACCAGGGCCAGTTTTCCCAGAAGCCAATTCACCTACCAGTCTTTGGACTGTGAAGGAAACCGTAGTCCCATCAGCCAACCCACAGGAATATGGGAAAAACATAAAAACTCTGAACACTTAACATTGAACACTAGCCCTAGCTCTGTGAGGCAGCTATACGCTGACCACTGCACCACCACACCGTCCAAAACAGAATATCGCAGTGAAAAAACATCATTGGCTAAGAATGTGATTTAGTAAGGGTGCTTTTCTTGAATTCAAACTGTGTTTCACATCTGTGAGGGTGAATACTTTTAACAAGCGAGACTCCAATTCTGTAATTACAACTATGTCACTTCCTATCAATGTGGTGTGGTGCCAAACAAAAAGGTTGGCTACTGTATATCCCTTTAAATCCGAGCAGCACTGAAAGCTAATAATCACTCAGCTATCATGTTACTGAGTACTTCCTATCCAGTCATTAAAAACAAGAAAGGTCATGGTGGAAAAAAAAATACAGATAGCCACAAGACATCCTCCCAACAATCTTTAGGCTGGTTCCAGGGTAAAAATAAGTCCTAGATTACTTTTAGACAAAAGAAAAGCTTTACTGTATGCAAGGTAGTTGTGCAACATTTTTGCCCAGTGCATAGTTTTATCATCATTATACATTTGGTCCATGATACCATGAAGCAGGAGCCTATCCCAGCATGCAACAGGGATAAAGGAAGGATACAACCTGGACGGGTGCCGCACACAGACACAAACACACACACTCACACTAAGGCCAGTTTTCACAGATGCCAACTGAAACCTACCAGTATGTAGGTTTTTATGGTGGGGGAGGGGGAAAGTGGAGCAACTGAAGGAAACTCACATGAGCATTGACAGAAGATACAAACACAACTCAGATAGCAACCCAGAAATCGAACCCACTGCCCCCTAGATTAATGTATTTAAAATTCCCACTTCATGATTCATTTCTATAATCATTTGAGACCATGCATTAACCATCTATTTAGGCATGTCTGCAATAAACATTTTTTTTTCATATCATAAATGTACGCAGGATTGAGAAAAAAAATAAGTTAACACTCCACAAAGGTCTGACTGGAACTCACCGAGTACTGTTGGTCCGTGACTGTGGAAGTCTCCTTTACTTTTTGAACCGCAGCAGTGAGAACAGTGTGATTTCTATGACAACTTACAGTACTTTCTAATCTTAAAATGTATCAGGAAGCCTTCAAAAAGGCTTCTGGGCAACCAGCCAGTCTGAACAAAACTAAATTGACCAACTGGACATGATAAACACTGTAAAGAGGTTTTCTTTTGAAATTTGAGCTGAATTCAAGAACTGTAATCTTGCATAGATACAGTTAAAGTCCATGTATCAGCCTTGACTACTCATTGACCCCAAGTTATAATATAATGTCAATATACTCCAGGAGGGTAAAACTGAATTGACTTGCGAGTCATGTTTTTCTTCCCCAAGATCAAATATTTTTACAGCTGCTAAATTCACTTCACTATCCTAATACGTCTGGACTGCATTATACATATATTGTAAACCGAAAGTGACTAAGAAGTCATTGTTACTCATCACATTTAAATCAGTTATGAAATTAACAAATAAATGAACAACACTGGGCTATGCAGGTAAAAGCTTTATTTAATGTATGACCTAACTTCCTCATGCTCACCTCCTTAGAGGACAAAAATGAAATCACAAATAGCATATAAGATGTGTAAGAGCTAATCTTTTACCATATACTGTAGGCATAGATTAAGTATACAACAAAAAATATAAAAGACAAACAGGTCCAAGAGCCCTTATTATAGATAAGATTTAATGAAAATAGCTGAACTTACATATAGTTTTTCAAATACAATTATCATTACGAATACCTGTATGTACAGTATATTTCAAATGCTTACCGTACTGTATCTGAATTAAACATTTACCTTTGTCTGGAAAGTGAATGATTTGTACTTGTTTGAGTGTGTCCAGATACTCGCTGAGTGTTGTGTGACCTGGTGACAGAGTTTTAAGTCACATTCCTGTTAAGAGCTGCAGCATTTGAGTCTATCCTAGAAGCAGTAGGTCATAAATTATATTCTTGAAAAGATGTCAGTCCATCACATGGCCTAATACATGAGCCCACAAGCATGCAAGGATAATTTACAGACGCCAATTAAGCCAGCGTGTCAATGGAAGGTGGAAGAAAATAGAACCTGGGTAAAGCGCATGCAAACATGGGGCAAACGTTCCTACAGTCCAAAGACTAGCAGGTTAATTGTCTTCTTTCTGCATCTGTGTGTGTCTGCCCTGTGATGTACGGACATCCAGTCCAGGGTGTACCCTGCCTTGTGTCCATTGCTTGCCAGGATAGGCACCAGCTTCCCTGCAACCATGTACTGGATAAAGGTTGGAAAATCGATGGATGGAAACACATTCGTGAGAAAATGTGACATTATACACAACAATGAACAAATGCATTTTTTTATTCTCGCTTTGAGTTAATAGTTAGGCCCATTAAGGAGGGAGGGATACTGAGTGAAACATTTTTTTGAAATCTAAAAATACAACATACCTCCTAACAATACAATACAAAATATAGGATTTCTGCATGAGGAGGAATAAGTCACCACATGTAAAATAAAAGTCTTCCTCTGTGAATTACAGTAAGTTATCCAGAAAGGAAAAACAAAAAGATACATCTCTGGCTCAGGGCCAAACAAGATTAAGATGCACAAAACCTTTTTGCCAAATTGCAGTTTTTGGTAACTAAAACGATAGCACATTGGATGAATGATCAGCTCATTTAATACCCTTGGCATTTACATGAACACCTTAACATGCTCATGTTAAGGGTACTTGATGCACATGTATCCTTAAAATACATACAAAAGTTTATGGCCTTCTGTACATGTGAAAGGGCAGCTACCAGGAAAAAAAACCTTTTAGTTTGTCATACACGTAAACCGGATTCAGAAGTGTTTTAAATACTTATTTTATTTTAAATACTGGTCTGTTAGTTCCAGACCTCCACAGCCTTCATTTTACACTTTACAGTTCCCTGTAGTTTTCACTTCTATCCTCTGGCCCATATTTCATTTTCGGTTTTGAAAACGTCCAAGGGGGCTGACTTTATCAGTACCTTTGTGGCCTTTTAATACTCGAAGCAGGCCTTCTTGTGGTTTTTCTGTCCAAGACTAAAAATCTTCAGTTCTTTTATCCTGTAAAATTAGGATTTTTTATTTTATTTTGAAATGTATTCACACGTACTCCAGAGCAGCAGACATCTTCATTGTGGTGACCACGATGGTAAATAATATAGTATTTACCACAAGGTCTTGCTATTAGGTACAAATCTAACATAAAATTATTTCATTTAAAATTCTTCACTTTTAAGTATCTAGACTCAAAACCATTTTTTTTCAGAGACGCTTTTATTTAGTATCTGCTTCATTCAAATGACCAAGTATCTTTTGCTGCACCTTCTGCTAAGCAAAAAAGAAAAGTGTAACAATATTCTACTGTTGTTAAAGTCAATGCTACTTTGCACAGGACAATATTATTTCACAGTACATGCAATATACAGTATTAAGATAGTAGGCAACATTGTTCACAAATTAACTATTGTGTTTAAACGGAATAATTTTCTCGTATAAAAAATATACTTTTCTCGTATAAACTCAATAATTTTCTCATACAAACTAGATATTTTTCTCGTATACCCAGGATACTGTCTCATATAAATGTTTTTTTTTCTCTATGGCACTAATAAGCTTCTGTAATTTAGTGCCAGCAGCCATATCAACCTGTAACTCACAACTGGCGACCTGATGAAGCTAAGCTGGTGTGAGCCTGGTCAGAACCTGGATTGGAGACCTCCGGGGAAAAACTAAGGTTGCTGCTGGAAGAGGTGTTATTGGAGCCAGCAGGGGGGGCTCACCCTGCAGTCTATGTGGGTCCTAAGGCCCCAGTATAGTGACGGGAACTACTGTACTGTAAAAAGGCGCCGTCCTTCTGTTTGAGACGTAAAACTGAGGTCCTGGCTCTCTGTGGTCATTAAAAATCCCAAGGCGTTTCTCGAAAAGAGTAGGGGTGTAATGCCGGCGTCCTGGCCAAATTTCCCATTGCCCTTACCAGTCACGGCCTCCTAATAATCCCCAT